GGTACTCTGTTTCTATTGAAATTATAAAATCTAAAATCTCTAAAACTTCCACCAAAATATTTCGGAAAAATATTAAGATTTACGTGAGCTGGACCGATTTGAAAATACCTCCAAAAATGGAGTTTTTTGTGAATAAAAATAGTTTCTTACAGATTTAAAAAAAAAAAAAAATCACCTCAGATGACAAAACTCTTCAACCTTAAAAAATCTGCATAAAAATATTAAACAAAAAATTTCAACGGAATCGCAATAATGAGATCTTTAATGCTGTTTTTTTTTTAAATTTTTCAAACTTGAATAACTGGACCAAAACTACTCCGATTTAGATTTATGATGTATCATTGGAAAGGTATTTTCTCACCCTTTTTATTTTTCTGCAAATAAACTCATTCAAAGTATGAAAGAGAAAGGAAGGATGAACGAGCGTCATTCCGAGTTGAGTTAAGTTGGTATTTGAAAAAACAAAATTAAATTGGAAAGTGACTGAGATTTTTTGTAAAGAAATAAAAGAGTGGGAAAATACCTAAAATACCTTTCTACTGATACATCATAAGCAGGGAACGGTTTTTAGGGAAACTGTCTTTTTTTCTGATAAAGAGATAGAGTATATTCGATTAAGAATGTTCACGATTTAGCTTTCCCCGATTCCATATATAATACACATTTGATGTTGCCTTTTTTTGCCTTTTCTACATTTGAAAAAGTGATTATAGCGAGGAAAAAGCCTCGACAGGAGAAAGTAATCAAAGATTCAAACTAAACATTTCTCATATCGCCGCTACAATGTCAACCTATCGGATGTGAAAATGTGTAATTTTCAGGAGAACGGAAAACTGTCGTAAAAATTGTTGTTGCCATTAGGAAAAAGTGTGGAATTCGACTTCTAAGAATACTCGAAATTTGACGATTTGGCAACTTGCGTATCAATCTAAACGCCTACGCAAGGTATCGTATTGAAAAAGCGTCTTTAGTTTCTTTCAAATCGGTCCAGCTCACGTAAATCTTAATATTTTTCCGAAATATTTTGGTGGATGCCTGCAAATACATATAATACATTTTGTAATCCCGGCGAAAAACCGCAACTTTTGTTGGCGATGCAGTCTAATGTACATACATACATACAAATAAATTATAGCGATCATCACCATTATTAAATCGGCAAGGTATTTGAATTTTGGATTTGTTTGCCTAATGCTTTGCTTGCAGCAACACACTGCTGTTTACATCCGATAGCGGATTGTGCTTATGTAATCGATCATTTGAATAGCTGAGCGTGTGTATGTGCACATTTATGTAAAAAAAATGAATGAATGAAATGAGTGAACGAAAGCGCAAGTGACTAACAATAAATTGGTTAACTCAGTGCTGCCGGTTGGGCTGCTTGCTTGGCTCATTGACCGATCAAATGGCTCACAGTTGCAAATGAAGTGGGTCGATGACTAAAGCCAGATACATACATATGTGAGGGTGTGAAGTCGGGGATGAATATTTATTTGCATACATTCGTACTTACATAGATGCATACCATACATACAAAGGTGCTTATCAGTGTTTTGATCACGCGGCGCTAATTAGACATTTTCAACAACAAAACCAAGTAATAAATACGCCAAATTTTCAAATAGTAATCAGCAGCGCAACATCTCAAGGCAATAACAATTTTCTCAGCGGCTTTCAAAAGAAATTTGCAAAATTTTGTTTGAAGTTCAAGGAAATTTGTGCGCAAAGCAGCCATAATCAAAATAATAGCGAAGACAATGCCAAAAATGACAAATAAGACAGGAATGTCTGTATGTGCGAAATATTATTAGTTTTTGTCTCTTTGTTGCTTATCTTATTACTACCTGCTGCTGAAAGTCAATGTGAAAGTAAAACCGGCAAAAATTGTTTCGAAAATAAACACAAAATTACGTTCATTGCCGCGTAGCAAAATAGTAAAGACTATGAAACGCAAGCAAAAACAACAAAAGTAGTATTGTATATAATTGCAAAAATTAAAATAAAAAGAAAAAACGAGAGAAACCACGAAAATGCCACTAATAACTGTAAAAAGTAGTAATAAAATAATTTTTTATATGTACGCTCTACCCACATACATTCATAGATACATACATACCTACCCTACAAGACATTGCTGAGCACTTTAGGCAAAAATTCTCACACATTTACACTTTTGTTTTTGTAGTACGGCATAAATGAGTAGTTTGACTATTAGTACTGAGGACTTTCTGATGACAACATTGAGGGGAAAGTACTCAATTTTTTCCCATGGCCTGAACGAAAATGAGGACTTTGATAAGCACTTTNGAAATATCTTTAATTGTGCTCAACGAAATAATGGGCAATCGTTGCTGCCTCTGCGCGGTAGGGTTTGACCACTTATAGTTTATAAGTAGTTTATAGGTAAAAGTTAAAATCTATCCTTAGGGGCGCATCGATAACGATGACGATAACAACATCGATAATAGTTTTATGTTTGAAA